AGTGTGCCCTTGGCACGGACGTCCTTGAGGACAGGCAGGAGGAGTTCCAGTGTTTGGCTGCTGCTTCACCTCATCTCGTGTCCGTACTGCTTACCCCTGAGGGAGACCCGGATGCACTTGACATCCCGACTCCGCGCTCTTACGCGGAGGCGATAGAGGGTCCCTACTCCTCTCAGTGGCAGGCAGCTATGGACGCAGAGATGGCTTCCTGGAAGTCCACAGGCACCTACGTTGACGACGTTCCCCCGCCTGGGGCGAACATCGTCAGTGGCATGTGGATTTTCAGGGTGAAGCGGCCGCCGGGTTCTCCGCCTGTCTTCAAGGCACGTTTCGTGGCTCGTGGCTTCAGTCAGCGGCAGGGAGTTGACTACTTTCAGACCTTCTCTCCCACCCCGAAGATGACCACTCTTCGGGTACTGCTGCACATAGCTGCTCACCGCGACTACGAGCTGCACTCTCTTGACTTCAGCACTGCTTTCTTGCAGGGCAGCCTGCACGAGGAGATCTGGCTGCGTCGCCCACCTGGCTTCACTGGGTCTTTTCCTCCTGGCACCCAGTGGAGCCTCCGGCGGCCAGTCTACGGTCTCCGCCAGGCACCGCGTGAGTGGCACGACACACTGAGGACTACACTTGCGGCTCTTGGGTTTGCTCCCTCTACTGCCGACCCGTCGCTGTTTCTGCGCACCGACACTTCTTTGCCGCCGTTCTACATCCTCGTGTACGTCGACGACTTGGTCTTTGCCACAGCTGACACTGCTGGACTCGCCCACGTGAAGTCCGAGCTGCAGAAGAGACACACGTGCACAGACCTGGGTGAACTGCGCAGCTACCTTGGCTTGCAGATCACCCGGGACAGAGCACGCCGCACCATTACCCTGACTCAGTTACACATGGTGCAGCAGGTCCTTCAGCGCTTCGGCTTCACGTACTCCTCGCCTCAGGCCACTCCTCTGCCTACTCGCCACTTGCTCTCAGCTCTGCCTTCGGATGAGTCCGTAGAGTCGAGTGGCCCGTACCCAGAGCTTGTTGGCTGCCTCATGTACCTGATGACCTGCACACGACCTGACCTTGCATACCCTCTTAGCATTCTTGCACGCTATGTTGCTCCTGGGAGACACAGACCGGAGCACATGGCTGCAGCGAAGAGGGTGTTGCGCTACTTGTGCAGTACGTCGGGCATGGGGCTTGTGCTTGGAGGGCAGAGTCCAGTGGTCCTCACTGGGCACGCAGACGCTTCTTGGGCTGACGACCAGGCTACGCAGCGGTCGTCACAGGGTTACACCTTCAGCCTTGGTTCCGGCTCTGTTTCGTGGCGGGCTACCCGCTCGTCTTCTGTTCTCGGCTCCAGTTGTGAGGCTGAGATCTACGCCGGGGCCATGGCTGCACAGGAGCTTCGCTGGCTCACCTACCTGCTGACTGACCTCGGAGAGCCGCCTCGTTCTCCTCCAGTACTGTACGTAGACAACAAGGCCATGCTGGCCTTGTGTCGAGAGCAGAGACTGGAGCACAGAACGAAGCACATTGCTCTCCGCTACTTCCTTGCTCGTGAGCTACAGCAGCGTGGTCAGCTGCGGCTTGCGTACGTGGCCTCTGAGGCCAACACTGCTGATATCTTCACCAAGGCACTTGCGCCTTGTGATCATCAGCGCTTCTGTACTCAGCTGGGTCTTGTGCCTACCTTGCCTCACTTGCTCACCCCTTGACCTCTTTTGTACTGTTGCATATACATATACACCTGCTCTTGCTTGTCTAGCTTTATATATATATGTAATCCTGCATGTGAACTGGCCTTGTGGCCTTGAACTTGTGCTCGGAATGTGTGGTGACTTTGTGATCCACCCTGAGCTTGCTTTGCTTTGCTTGACTGGTCTTGTGACCCCTTGTTCTCCCCCACTTTGCCTATGGGGGTGTGTCAGATTTATATGACATAGCTACTGTAGGCTATAGTGGGGTAGCACATATGGGGTATAGTTTTCCTAGGGTTTGCATTTGTACCCAACTTTCCCTTAGTCATTTCATTCCTCGTTTCTTCTCACTCTGTTGGGTGGCGGTGGTTTCACAACGAAGCCGTCCGCGTTCGCCACGTTCTCGTATAGGCTTGCCACGCAGTTCAGTGCAGAACGACGCCACATGATCACCGGCTCCAAATCCCCCTCCTTCGCAAGATTAACCTGCTCGAAAGGGTGCAAATTGGCATCGGCGAGTTGCAACTTCTCGTAGCCATCAAATGCGGCAAGGGAATTTATGGTTAGACGCCCGGGATTGCTCAACACCTCTATGAGGATGGATATCAACTCCTTGATATCCACCCTCGAGAGTCCGGAACCTCCTGCAGCCGTCCTTACAAAACGATACACGCGTGCGTCGGGATCCACCTTCGATGTGTCACCACCGGAGGAGAAGTGATACCCTGTTGGGTCCTCGTTCATCTCTGCAGCGCCCACGTCCTCTGCCATGCGACTACTCTCTGCCTGCGCATCAATGCGGGTACGTTTTGTTGGTCTCGTGCGAATGCGCTCTGCAGCAGCTAGGAGCGCCTCTGCAGCTCCGCCTTGGCTGCTTTCGTTTCGCAGCTCTGGAGTTGCATCAGGAGCCTTGAACTTGTGTTTTCCCTTAGACATATGCCATGCCTTTGCCAACGAAGTAGAAAATTTCGCAATGCAGTCCTTCACGTCACATCGATAATGCCCCCCTTCTTCCATTCTGCCAAGTAGGATCTTGCCAACTTTATAAAATGGTATAATGCAAGTGTATATAGTTGACACAACTCTGAGCACCACGTCCCAATCCTCAATGTGCCTACATCTAGAAGTCCCTCACAAAGAGTCTTCAGCTGAAGCATCCTCAGCAGGCCTGCAGGTACAAGGTACACAAAAGCCATAAACAATGTTAGTGAATGTAGTCTGGAAACCCAATAACCCTGCTGGTCATATACACATTTTCCCACAAAAACGGAAAAAAAAAAAAGGAAAAACCGACAGCTCAACGAGATAAACAGAGCAGCGAAGTATTCTTGCTCCATGCAATGCTGGCTTACCTCTGGGCGTTGAAATGTAGGTGCGGTAGCAGCAAAACACCTGGAAAAACGTAGTGTACAAGCAGGGTGGTTAACCATTCTCAACATGGCACAGATAACACGATGAAGAAGCAGCCTCAAGGAAAATAAAGCGAAATCATGGCAGCATGATAAAGGGAAGTGTGAACATTCGCGCAGAGCACTGACACTTGCGAGACGACGGACGAAACCTACATTGTTCAGATTTGAAGGAAAGCACAGATCTGGAAAAGAAAAAGAAAAAAAAATGCTTTGGATTTCTGATTACCTGAGAATATCCCCCACGCGATTTCGTGTTGATGACGTCGAGAGAAACAGTGCCCTCGGCGCCAGCTAAACTGAGCCTGTGGAATGCTCGTTCTAAGTAGGAGACGCGGAGGGAGTAGAGGTGAGAAACAGCTATGGAGCAGAAGATTGACGAAAAAAATGAAAGACTGATATGTGAATTCGAGCAGAGAGGATGGGATGGGTGCGGGTGGGATGCATCAGGAGAAACAGAACCTAACGCTCAATCTGGCTGTTGGGTACAGTTGGGTGGGTGAGTGTGGGAGTCACTGTGCAACTCCACGCGTCAATTTCGGGACACGGTGGCATTTCTTTACCCTAGTCTATTGCCACGGCATCACCCTGGGTCAACCTCACACACACATTCTGCCGTCGACTTGCTTTGATTGGGTAAGGCAAATGGCCAGAAGTCTGATCTGAACGGGAGGGGGATCGTGTGTACACGCGTGAAATCTGGGCCACGTGTACATTTTTACTCTCGCCCCTCAACAGTCCCTGCAAATCCGCACCACCCTCCCTCCCAGCCCACCGACAAGATGTGCAGGACGCGGCCTCTGTATCACCTAACTTGCGATTGAATCCAAATCTTGCGGAGTAACAAAAGGTGTAGTAATGTTTAAATGTTTTCAGAATTATTCAGTGCGGTGCAGTAAGGGATCGTGCGATCGACGTGCGTCAATACACTTCCGTTTTCGCGCGCATGCCTTTGTAAATCCTGTAACACGTGGTTACAGTCCAGCATATGCATATTGAATGTAGGTGTCTCTGAATGTGATAATTCAATTACCATTGCTACCTAAGAAAAATATAATCTTACCAGCAAAATTCTCAACAGCAGTTTCGTTAAATTTAACTCACCTTAGATACCACAATTATCCATTACAGTAAAAATAATAACATAGGCGAAGAAAAAACCAAGATTATGCTGAAATGAATTTTCGTTCTACATGCCACATCTACATGTGCCAGAATGTCTCATTAACAGGTCACAACTACGATGTTCTCGTCCCACACTGTCGAAGCCCCAATACATCGGAACCTCCAATCAAACGATTGGTTCGCTAGCGACTGGGGCATTTCCCAACCTCAGCCAAGCCGGAGGCTCGCCTCCCGTGTCTCAGTGATTGGTTGGTGTTAACCAACATTCCGATGAAATGCCTGGCAACACGCAAATGAGCCGCCGGAAAACTGGGATGTCGAAACCTACTGGCCAACTGGACTGGTTTGCAAGGCGTTGACGATTGGTTTTACCCCTCCAGTCGTCAACGACTGGCTTTCGGTTGGAAAACCAGAAACCCCAGTTTCGCGATGCAGAAGCAGGGTGCATCACATTACACTCTTTGTGGTTTGATTCAAAAACTGATCTCTTTTTGCAGCCTGCCTACCTTAGCCATCCACCAATTAAAAATCCTGAACGTGCGCTGATCTTTTACAGTATTTCAACATTATACAAGGTAGAACAAGTGATGGTGCCGTGCTGGAGAGACATGGTAGAAGCCAGATCATGGTGATATTTCCACCATATTGAAAGGGATGCCACAAGAGACAGTGCCAATGGCAGTAGTAGCGAGACAGGCGACAAATGGGAGCACATATTCGAGTCGGTAGAGGCAGATTCAACACAAGGCACGGGTGATCGTTGATTGTGTGTCTGCAGAGTTTAGGCTCGGATGGAGAAGTTGCAGGGGAATGGGATGGTGGAGACCCTGGGAGGGGATGGACAACGGGATGGGAGAAAAGAAAGGGGTGGTTGCGGAAAAGTGTGGTAAGAGGAAGGGGATGGGGGGACTGCGATGGAGAGGGACAATGACAACCGTTGCACTATGCACACCTGACAGTGGGAAGAGTGGTGCGAATGGTGACAGAGAGACGGTAAGGGATGGAAAGGGGGTGGGAGTTGTAGATATCACTGCCTTAGGGAGCTCGCACAGGGAAGTCAGGCACAGGAAATTTAGGCACCGAGGAATACAGGCACGGAAAAGTCAGGCACGGGGGGGTTAGGCCAAGGGCATTCAGGCACAGGGAATTGAGGAATAGGAAATTTATGCACAGGGCATTCAGAAACACGGATTTCAGGAACAGAAAACCAGGATAAAAATTTTAAGGCGAAGGGAAAAAAGGCAAGGGAAATTCAGGCACAGATTATTAGGCAAGGGGAATTTAGGCACTAAGATTTCAGGCACAGAGAATTCAGGCACAGAGAATTCAAAAACAGGAAATTTCAAGCACAGGAAAGACAGGCAAGGAAAATTCAGGCACAGGGGAATCAGTCACAGGAAATTCAGGGGGGATTCAGGCATGGGGAATTCAGGCACAGAAAAATCGGACAACAAGATTCAGTCACGAAAATTTCAGGCACAGGGCATTCAGGCAGAGGGAATTCTGTCACAGGAAACCCAGGCACAAAAAATCACGCATACATCTACACACAGGGCATTCAGGCACAGGCAATCCAGGCAGAGGGAAATCAGGCACAGAAAATTCAGCCTCAGGGCATTCAACCTTAAAGCTTTCAGCCAGAGACTAACCTGAGACTGACACCTCCTCCACCCAGCAATAACTAGTACCAGTGATCCGTTACAGCCCACCTCCTTCCTCGCACCACGCACGTCCTTTCGCCCAGCAAACCCACCTTCCTTTCTCCCTGCTCATTCGCGGGGAAAAGAACTGCCTTACGGGGGTACCCAGCACCCCCCCCCTCTAAGGTTGCCCCAAGGAACGCACCTCCTTCTCCCTTGGCTGCGGCACCCAGCAGCCCCACGAGTGGCCTGAGCAGTTCCGAATGGGCCCTAGGGGTCGAGATTGAGAGGCATAAGTTGGAGAAACAAGTGCGGGGCGTGGTGGGCGGGGAGTGGGGATGGAAGGGGGAGGAAGTGTGGTGGATGGGGGGAAGCTGAAAGGGGGAAAGGGGGAGAGGGGGAAGGGAAAGGAGCATTGTCTTTTGAAAGGGGTGTGGAAGCCAAGGTGGGTGTGAGGGGGGGAAGGGAATGCTGGGGGAGGCGGAGAAACGGCGAAGGAAAGAGATGGACCAATGGCTTTAAGAGGGTACGAAAACGAGTGCAGAGAGGTGCGAGCGAAACATTGCTGTGAGGACGGGAGTCAGTGCTGGCCTGTGGGCCATGCTTGTGTCGCCGTTGAGAATTCTAAGGCTCGCACAACACCAAGTGCGAAACAGAGATGCCAATCGGTGCTAGAATGTGAGAGATGTACAAGGGTGAGTGCAGCGAAGCGAGTGAATACAGCGGGGCTGAAGTCAGCTAGGAGTTTTGAGTGCGGAGCTGCAAGGGGAGTGCAGGGGAGGGAGTTGGGGGAAGAGAAGCGGGGAGCAGGGAAGAAGGGAACGGAGCAACGGAATGGTGGTGGGAAGAAGGAGAGCATGAGCGCTCAGGCGGGCGGGCCACAAGTGATTCAAAATCCACGAAGGTTTTGGCAGGTGGGTGACAAGCGGGCGGGGGTGTTGGAGATGCAGGTGAACAGCTGGGGGGGCAATCATTGCGTGTCCAGCAGCGTCGCCGCGGACGGTGGTGCAGCAACAGGAGCAAGCATCATCCCGGGCCCGGCGAGTCGGTCATCGCCCGGCTTGACACGCGTGGTGATGCCTATGCATGCATGCACTTCACAGGCCCAGCCGAACCGCGTGGATTCGCCGGGAACAAGTGGCGAGACGGGTCACAGCACGGCAGAGCCTGGGGTAGGCGATTGGGGTCAGAGGAGGGGTGGGGGAGGCGTGGGAGAGGGTGGGGGAGGGGTGGGGGAGGGGCGGGGGAGGGGCGGGGGAGGTGTGGGAGAGGGGTGGGGGGAAGGAGAAAAGGAAAGGGGAAGTGGGTACGTGTAAACGGAGGGAGTAAGAGGAGGGGGGGTGGGTAAGCGGAAAGGGAGGGGATAAGGGGAGGGAGAGTGGGTAAGGGTAAAGGGAGGGGTAAGAGGAGGGGGAGTAGGTAAAGGAGCGAGAGGGGGTAAGAGAAAGAGGAGTGCGTAAGGGTAAAGTCAAAGGGGTAAGTGAAGGGTTTGAGATAAACCTGAGGTGGTGTATTGGCAGCGAGCTGGAAGGGTCAGGGATGACGGACGCGTGGGAAGGGAGGAACCGGGGGTGGTTGGTGGAAAAGGGAGCATCACAGGGCGTTCTAAACTGTCCTCTGCAGCCTCCGCCAGACCCATCAGCAGCCCTGCCTTGATGAGCCCCTCCCAGTCGTTGGATTGGAGTGAATTCAACATACATCATCTCCTTCCCGCAGCGACTGCTCACAGCCTCGCAGACATCGCCTCTCAGACGCATCAACTTCACCCCCCCTCTCCCCACTCCCGTCTCCACAGTGAGGTGGGAGCGCGAGTTTGTGCAGTGGGGCAGAAGTCGTGTAGGAGAAGCAGATGCAGAGCTGGAAAGCGGAGGAGGGAGGGGAAAAGGGGGGAAACGAGAGGAACGAGGGGAACGGAGGGAAAACAGTGCGATGATTGTATCACTTTTGAGAATTCTGAAGGAAGTACGAAACGAAGCTCGGGCCTAAGGAGCAAAACAGTGCTAGAAACTGTGAGAAGTGGCGGGAGTGAGTGCAGAGAGTGCAGTGGGGCAGGCAGAAATCAGCAGGAGACACGTGGGAGGCAGGCAGGGAACAGGGTCATACTACTTTTCCAGCAGCGGCGTCGCTGACAATGGTGCAGGCATCATCGAGGCGGGGCGAGGCGAGGCGGGGCGAGGGGAGGCGAGGCGGGGCGAGGCGAGGCGAGGCGAGTCGGGGCGAGGTGCAACTCGTCTGGTTTAACAGCGGTGGTGAAGCCCCCACACCCACATTGCAGCTTGCAGGCCCAGGCTTTCCAATCCAATCTGACTGCACGGTCTCAATTCGCCGGGGACGAGAGGCGAGACGGGTCGGCAGAGCCTGGCGTTGGGTTAGGGGATTGGAATGGGGAGGGGGTGAGAGACTGGGGTCAGGGGAGGGTGAGGGAGGGAAAAAAAAGGGGGGTATGGGTGAAGGGAGAGGGTAAGGGGAGGGGGAGTCGGTCAGGGCAGGGGAAAGGGTGAAAGGGAAGGGTAAGGGACTAACGGGAGGGGGAGGAGGTAAGGGGAAGGGGAGGGGGGGTAAATGGGGTAAGGAGTGGGGAGGAGTGGATAAAGGAGGGCGTGGGGGTGAGTGAAAGGTGAGTGCTTTAGGGTAAGGATATGGCGTAGGGGAGCGTTCGAGGTGGTACTGAGGTGATGCCTTGGAAGCAGTGCGCCTGCGCGAGTGGGTAAGTGTGTGTGTGTGTGTGTGTGTGTGTGTGTGTGTGTGAGAAGCACGCAGGAGCGGAGTGGAGCTGGAGGTGGTCAGGGATGAGGGGCGAGTGGGAAGGAAGGGTGGGGAATGGGTGGGTACGGAGGATTTGGGAGGACTGTCTAAAACTCCCCTTGGCGTTCCAAGGAGCATCCCAAATAGCCTCGGCCAGCCCCGTCAGCACAACCCCCCCTTCCCAGCGGCCTCTAGCCATCTCTCGAGTGACTCTCACACAACGCCATCCCTGCCCCGCAGAGACTGCTCAGAGCTCTCACATTGGCGACATCAGCTTGTCAACCGCACCCTCCACCAGCCCCATCAAGCAGAAAGCCCCCCTCACCCCCCCCTTCGCCCTCCTTTCCTCAGCCCCCCTTTCACCCGCTCTTGACCGCGACCCCCACCATTCCGAGTGACTCGCACACATCCCACCCCACAGCAACCCCTCAGAGCCTCAACGTCACCATATCTTGCACAGCCACTACCCGGCCCATGGCTGGTAGCGCCAAGTGCATCCTCCATTACCTCCGCCAGCCCACGGAGCAGCCCCTCCTTCACCACTTCCTCGCCCAAATTGCCACCCTTCCCACCTCCACCACTGCCGCAGCACATTCTGCCTCCGCCATTCTTCTCCCTCATCTTTTCCTTCTCTTCTCTTTCTCCTTCAATGTACCCATACCCTTCTCCTGTTGTGCGTCCACAGGGGCGCTGACCTCACCAACATCGCGTAACTGGTCAGATTTCGCAAAGCCTGCGGCTTCACTACCAGTCGCCGAGCCGCACAACACCCATTCTCCGCCTTCACTCGCGCAATCCGCCTCCTAGATCGCGGTTCCAACTTCCCAGTCGCCCTCCCAAAGCAGAATCCGGATTTGCATTTCGTTCGTGAGCTTTGTGACGATTCTGCTTTTCCGTTCGGTATTAGGGTTCAGGCAGGGACGCTGCTAATCCGCGCTCATGATCGGCCGATAAACTACGGATACGCGAACAGGAGCAACAGGGAATTCGAATGAACCAAGTAATTCGTGATAATAGAAACTTAGTATTTTTCCTCTGTAGGCGGCTCGGAAAAACGTGGTCACACAATCACACGCGGCTTGAGCATCGAGCCTAAGATGAAGGGCGACAGCACGATGGATCTGCAGTCCCGTAGCCTCGGGAGCTCGGAACTGGCAGCCTGCCAAGGGAGGCATTGAAATCGAATGTATGAGCCGAAACTCATTGCTCTTCCTGTTCTAGCTAGCTAGTTTGAGAGGGTGTCTCAGATGTCTGAGTCCACGTGGGTACGGCTCGGATCTGACGGACCAGTTCAAGAACCAGCGCGTGAACCAGGGCTGACCGGGACCAGGATGTGGGGCTTGTAACCCCGTTATACCGTTCGAATGGCACTAAAACGGTGCCATTTATTTGGCCCTCCAGACCAGTCCGCGCCTGGTCCGTAAACAGTGGGTGGGGAAACATTTGTTTTGGCGAAATTTCTTGTTTTGCAAGTTTCGCGTGAGATTTTTGTGCAGACGAAGAAAATGGGTAACTCAATTTCAAATTCGTCGCTACTGCTGCATCTCGCAAATACTGTGCAGCCCGAAGCGCGACGCATCAGGCAGACCAGTCCGTGTCTGGTCCAACGCTGGTCCGCCAAGTGGGTCCGTCGGACCAGAACCCCGGACCAGGCCTATAGATTCTGGTCGCGGACCAGATCAAGCGGACCCTCCACATGAGACACGTCCTGAGCCTCCACGGCTTGGAAGCAAGTAACGCATTCGGCCTGGTCGGAACTTGAGATTCCACAATCTGACGGCTGGTAACAAACTGTAACCAGGGTTTGTGTGGCGGAAAAGCTGGACATTTTCGAGCCTATGCTCTGGTCGGCCCAGCCAGGTTCGGCTTTTTTGGGGAACGAACTCTGTTTGGTGTGGAGGGAATGACAGGCGAAGCACAAATCCCAGATGGTTTCGCCAAGGCCGATGAAGACAAGTGCAAAGGCTGGCACAAGCCCTCGCAAGGGGGTAACCCAGGTGGTTCGGATCGGCCGTAATCGAAACTCCAACCGAATATTGCTTGCCTTGTTCCAAGCAGGTCCACCGTGCGACGTTGTTGCATCACTTGTCGAACCGAGTGTCGTTTTCAGGACGTATGCTGTTACTAATGTCGAACACGGTATCCGACCTTCGATTGCCTTGGGTCACATTTGTCTTCCCTCCTCCCACCTCTCATATCTCCACTCGGCAGATCTCACTCGCTCTTGATGCTAGTCTATCGCGCGGATCTGGATCCACTCCGTTAGTACCTGCTGTCCCGGTGAGTTAAGTTCCGGGAACATAACTCCCCCGTGTTTCATAGTCGTAGCGTCGTTGGCCTAGGAGTTCGTAACGCGGGATCTATAGAGGTCGCCTATTTTACCGGCGATCGAGGCTGTGAGCTGCAGTTTGGAGGGAATTAAGTCAATACGTTAGTACTCATACACCGAGCTTTCACCTGCCGCGTTCTTTTTCTTCACTGACATGGGGTCGCGTAAAACTCACATCCACCACCTCTCTGACGACCTCTTGATCAGCATCTTCTGGCCTTCCGAACGATCAAAAGCATACACATCCGAGAGCGATAAACTTTGGAGTTCTCTTTCGCCGTTCACACCCACGTACTTTTACAACGCTTACTTAGAGATCTCACCATGGCGAAGAGACACTCCCATGCCGACCCCTCCGGCCTCCGCAGATGCCGCTCACAACCTTCTTATCGCCTCGATCTGCCGTCGCTGGCGGCGTCTCGCTCAGAGCCATGTCTCATCGCTCCTAGTAAAGAAACACCGCGTCGTTTCGCGTCAGGATGTTCTCAACGCCGTCGCTTGCTTTCCCAGCCTGACACATCTGCATCTGTCGGATGGAAGTATTGAAGCTCTGGACAACACTTTCCTTGTTGACCTCGCCTCTCTTTGCCCCAGGCTGAGAGCACTGCACGTTGGCAAGTTGATGGTTTTGAGTAGGGTTCGGATGATAGACGAATCTGGCTTGGATCATCTCTCGAGTCACTGCCCTCATCTAGAGCAGTTGTCGCTGTACTGGCTTGAGGAAAATGCCGAGCTCCCAGCTTCTTTCTTTCAGCTACCGTTGCGCATCCTCAACTTGGGCAATAACGCTTCCATCTTAACCGCTCCAAATCTCAGCTCCCTTTCGTCTCTCACTGCACTCTCCTTTGGAACCCCCTCCCTTTACTTCAACCAGATTTCCAGCCTCCTTCACCTCACCAACCTCACCCGCCTCTTCTTGCCTGTAATGAGCCGTTTTCTTCAACATACGCCTGACTTCTCACTCGCACAGCTACCTTCTCTCGAGTCACTCAGTTTCGGACTACGGCTTGCACAGTTTAGCGACTTTTTCCCGCCCCATTCTCAATACAGTTCCTTGAAGCGGTTGCAGCTGAACCGTTGCTACATCGGAGAGCGCCTTCCAAACAGCTTTGAAGAGATGCTGCCACGCCTCCAAGAGCTCAGCATCAGCAACTGGAGAAGCTTCAGCGGTCTGACTGATCAGTTCACCTCTCTGGCCTGCCTGGAGAGCTTGACCATTTCCTCATGCGATGTCGAAGAGCTTGATCAGTTCTCCACTCTGCCGGAGAACTTTGGGGATCTTCCAGCCTTAAAGTCGCTGGTGCTTCACAAGCTGCCGCTTTGCCATCTCCCTGCGTCCTTCACCAGGCTCGCATCTCTGGAGACGTTTCTTCTAGTCGGGTGCGAGGAGATGGAGGAGCTACCTGCAGGATTTGGGTGCCTCTCAGCCCTCCGAACTCTCTCTCTTGTGTGCTCCCCGACCCTGAAGCTTCCAGAAGACTTGGGGGGGCTGACCAATCTTCAAACCTTTCATCTCAAACAGTATCGCGGAGAGCAGCTGCCGTCCTCATTCACGCAGCTGGCATCGCTGACCAGGTTGGAGCTGGAACAGTGCAGGCTTGGTGGGCTTCCAGAGGGAGTGGGGACGATGGCAAAGCTGCAGGAGCTGTTCATTCAGGACTGCCCTGCCATTACAGAGATTCCAGAATCTGTGTCAGGCCTTGTCAGCCTTCGGATGCTCATGATAGTAAGATGTGCCAGTCTCACTTCGGTTCCCCGGAGGCTGGACAGCCTTACCAGGCTCACGCAGTTGGAGGTGAGGGTATGTAGGCTGCTGAAAGAATCTCCTCGGGCTCTACCGTTCACTCTCCGGGCTCTGTCTTATGAAATCAATGAGCAGATGGTGTCGCTGCCTGGCGTTTCAAGGCTGACAGAGCTGCGGAAACTGCACTTGGGCATTGTTGGTGCAAGATGTCTGCTGGCCATCAGTTACCACCTCTCTGGTCTGAAGCACCTGGAGTTGGCGCTGGGAGAAGATGCGGAGGAGTTTCTGTTTGCATTGACAAGGCTTCCCCGCCTCCGCACCTTGACACTCAAGGAGGTTCGCAGATTGAACAGGTTGGTGCAATGTGGTGGCTCAGGATTGCAGGAGCTACGGCAGCTGAACATCCACACCTCATGTGATGAATTCACAGAGCTGCCTGCGGCCATCACCACCCTCCACCACCTCACATCCATCCGGATCCTCTCGCCGAAGTTATCTTCCCTTCCAGATTCCTTGGGGGCGTTCTCAAGGCTGCGCAGGCTGGACTTATCCAAATGCTCATCGCTCACGCATCTTCCGGATTCCCTCACGCAGCTCTCCTGCCTGCATGAGCTGAACCTCAGCTGCACCGGCATCCGCTTGCTTCCTGCTGGCTTTGCTCAGCTCAGCAGACTCAAGAAGCTTCAACTCTATGACTGCAAGCAGCTCGAGGCTCTGCCTGACGACATATCTGATCTTGCAATGCTTGATTTCTTTTCTACTTGGGGGTGTGACAGGCTTCAGCACTGAGGATCCGTTCACCAGTCAAGGTCCTCACTGTACCTGACACTACGGTATTTTACTTTCGGTTGTTTCAGCAAGGTCAATATAGGATTTTTTATGAATTTATCATCTGCTTACTGTATTATAATTATCAGTAGGGGTGGGAATTTAATTCGACTGATGAACTCCTTTCCTTCATTGTCATTGACATGCATGTAGGTGTCTATTTTATTTATCTATTTGCTCTAGTGAACTATTGATTGCCGCCACTCCAAATTATGGTGTGATGTGCGGTGCCAGTGGGACATGAGGACCATCGGAAGCATGGGGTGAACCTGAAACTAGGTACACTCACCAAATAAGGCTTCATTCATACCCTGGAGAGTAGTTCCAATTTGAAAAATTAGAAGGTTATTGTCAGTAGTGTCGGATGTTGAGATGCTTTTTTGTGGGTAGCAAACGGGAAAACATGCCGCTCTTCTTGGGAAGGGAACGTGCAGCAGTAGACTGCTGTTCAGAAGCAAGGTGACTTGTGACTTGAGTCGAATTCCGAATGGTGTTGTGGAAGATGATGGAAGAGAGGCCCAGATGGGACAGAGCACAGTGTTGGAGAAACCGCCTAATGCCAGATGGGTATGCAGGTCATGACCTTGGCGTTTCAGCTGCTGAATAGGGCCTGCAGAGGGAAGGGAGGGGTGAGGCAGACCAGGAAAAAAGTGCAGGAAAGGGCAGGGAAGGCAAGGAGAAGATGAAGGGCCGGAAGAGGCAGATCACACTGCCTGAAAGCCGCCCAATTCAGGAGGACCAATCCACTGTTCAAGGGCCCCCTGTCAGTGTTAGTCGCGGACATTGGCCCTGTGCCCTATGGATTGGGCCCGTTTAGCTCAAGGAAAAATGCGGAAAGCACGAAATTGCAAGGGTATGGATTCTCTTTCTTGTGATTCAGAATCTTGCCTCGTGCAGCTAAGGGAGTTGGGCACATGCGAGGGCAGGATAAGCAGTGACCTGGCAAAGCTGTTAATTACAAGTGCTTGCAGTGAAGGCCAAAGCCAATGCACGGGCATGGTGGGAAGATGATGGGACGATAGGGTAATAGGATGGAGGGGTAATGGCTAGATGGGATGATCGGGTGATAGGGTGTTAGGGTGATGGGGTGATGGCCTGATGGGGTGATGGTCTGATGGTGTGATGGTCTGACGGGGTGATGGTCTGATGGGGTGATGGTCTGACGGGGTGATGGTCTGACGGGGTGATGGTCTGACGGGGTGATGGTCTGACGGGGTGATGGTCTGACGGGGTGATGGTCTGACGGGGTGATGGTCTGTCGGGGTGATGGTCTGACGGGGTGATGGTCTGACGGGGTGATGGTCTGACGGGATGATGGTCTGACGGGGTGATGGTCTGACGGGGTGATGGTCTGACGGGGTGATGGTCTGACGGGGTGATGGTCTGACGGGGTGATGGTCTGACGGTGTGATGGTCTGACGGTGTGATGGTCTGACGGGGTGATGGTCTGACGGGGTGATGGTCTGACGGGGTGATGGTCTGACGGTGTGATGGAAAGATGAGGTCATGGGTTAACGGTGCGATGGGGGAGTGGTGGGATGATGGCGTGATGGGGGGATGAGATCATGGGACTGTCTCCTCCGCATTGAAGGGTGGTCGTAGGGGAGGATGGGGTGCCAATGGCAGTGGTGGCGCACCAGGCAACAAATGATAGCAGAGTCCTGATCCTGTAGAGGCAGATTCGATACAAGGCACTACTGCCTCAGCGTAGAGAATGGTTATCCGTGTGTGAGTGTAGAGACGGCAGGGGTGGAAGCTACTTGGGGGAAAGGGTGGACAGATATAGGGGGAGCACGGAGGAGCACGGAGGAGCACGGAGGTGGGTGCAGGAAGGGCGGATTGGAGCAGTGTGATGGGCGCTGCTGGCTGCGTCACCCAGAGCTCTGCTACAAGTCCTTATCAGCTGTGGGCGACCAGCCTGTAGCACACGGCGCTCTCCTGGACGCTCTGCGGCAGGTGGCTTGCTTTGGGCTGTCGCTGGTGCGGCTGGACATACGACAGGAGGGAGCACGGCACTCAGACGTCAAGGGAGACCGGTGAGGTGGGTGAGAGAGAGAGAGAGGCGGTGAGTGATCGGATGGGAGTTGGGCAGAAGAATGATGGTCCTTGGATTACTTGCACTGCCAGTGGGAGGGAAGGGCAGTCCGCCACAGGGCGTTCAGCCTTGGGGCATTCAGATGCGAGACATTCGTAGGTCATGCAGCACACATGGGCGGAGTATCGGGCACTTTGAAAAGCACCGACGCAGAGAAATCAGCCCGCTGACATCCAACCTCTCACCGATCAATCCCCCGCAAACTACATGAGAGTAACCTGAGCCCGCGTCCCTCTCACCACGCACCTCCTTCTCCCGTTGGTCGTCCCCGTGGAAGAACACTGCCACAGGGCACCCAGCAAACCCTTCCAGCAAACATCACATGCAGCTACAGCAATGACTTGCTAATGATGCACGCACAAGTAGCTTACACCCCTCTCCCTACACACCCACTCTCCTTCCCCCTCTGCTCATCCTTCAGGAAGGAAACTGCCACGAGGCACCCAGCGACCCCGCCCAGCCTCGCCTCATCCGTGACCCACTAGTGACTCACAAACATCAAACAGCCCAGCCCACCACCTCTGACTCACTCAGAACGCACCTCCTCCCTCTGCTCGCTCCTCCCCAAAAACCGCCAAGGGGCACCCAGCAGCCCAGGCTCGCCCAGCCCACCCCAGTCTCGGCCAGCCCACCCCAGTCTCGCCCAGCACCACAACGACCACATAAAGGGCATCGCACCACGCACCCCATTCTCGCACGGCTCGTCTTCCCAAACAAAAACCGCCACGCGACACCCAGCGGCTCAGCCCCTGCCAGCTCCGCCTGCAGCCTGTCATGCACCTCCGCCACGTCTGCAGCCTCTACCGTGCTTCCGTCTGTGCACCCACACCATAGGGGCGCGAGTCGGTGGGCCAGACAATCGGTGTAGGCGACGCAAGCGCCAAGCTGAGGGGGGGAGGGAAAGAGGGGCGAACAGCACTGGCTGGCTGGTGAGAGGGACGTGGGAGACGCCGAATTCTGTGGGGCAGAAGTCCTTGTACGGGATGCAAGTGCGCAGCTGGGTGGGGGTAGGAAGGGTGGAGGGGGTAAGGGAAGATGGTAATGCATGACAGCAAAAGGGTTGGGGGAGGTGGGAAGGAGAGAAGAAGGGAGAGCGCATGAGTAAGCAGCAGAGCCTCGCTACCGAAGGGGCAGGAATCCGTGGGGCAGACGTTGGTGTAGGAGAAGCAGACGTGGTGCTGGGAGTGGGGGATGAAAGGGAGAGGGTATGGGGAGGGGAGGAACAGTGCCAGGGTGAGCAGCATAGCGCCCGCGCTGACTGTAGGAGCCGAGTCGAGCCTGTGGGTCAGAACCTGGAATAGGGAAAGCAGGTGCCGAGCTGGAGGGGAGGAGGTGGGAGGGAAAGGAGGGAAAACAGCAGCGGCTTGTAAAGGGAATGTGGGAGACAGTGCTCTAGGGGCACATATTTGTGGGCCAGAAGTCTGTGTGAGAGAACCGGGTGCCGTGCGGAGCTACTGGGGAACAAAGGGGGAAGGGATGGGAAGGAGGGTCCTATTGCGTTTGTGAGACAGATGCAGGGAAAAGGGATGTGAATCCGTGTGAGAGAAGCAGGTGGGGGGAGCTGGCGGAGGACGGGGGAGACAGGGGAAAGAGTTAAGAGGGGAAGGGAAAAAGGCGCAGGTAGAGGTAGTGCCTTTGGCGAGTAATGTGCTGTGCAGTAAGGGCAGATGTCAGGGGGTCACAAGTCGGTGTAGGATACACAATTGATGCATGGGATGGCGGAGGATGCGAAAGGGGGGGGGGGGGGGGGGGGGGGTTTGCGTAGAAAGGGGGAATCCAAGCTTGGGAGGGGAGAAGTAGTTGGAGAGGGTATGGGAGAATGCGTCTTGCTTTCTCAACTTACCTGGCCTGCCCATGAACTCAACTCAACCCACGTGCCTCTCACCACACACCCACCTCCTCTGCTCGTCCCTGACGAAGGACACAGCCACAGAGCACCGAGCGACACAGTCACTAATGAACATCAAGCACATCACTACCCCTGACTCACTCAAACACATCTCCTTCTCCCTCTGCTCGTCCCTCCTCAAAAACCGTCACGGGGCACCCAGCGACCCAGCCCCACCCAGCCGCCCCCAGACTCGCCGCCCAGCCCCACAGGAATCTCCTAAACGGCATCGCACCACGCACCTCGTTCTCCCACTGCTCGTCCGTCCTAAAAAACCACCACGGGGCACGGCACCCAGCAGACCCGCCCTCCCCAGCTTCGCCTGCAGCCTGTCTGTCATGCACCTCGGCCACGTCAGCAGCCTCTAGCACGCTGCTGTGCGGGTGCACTGTGCACCGCACTGTAGAGGCGGGTGGGTGGGAGAGTTGGTGGGGCTGAAGTCAGTGTGGGCGAAGCACGTGTGGTGTGGAGCTGGAGGAGGGAGGGGTTGGGGGAGGGGACGAAAGGGGAGAAGGGGGAAAGGGTCAAACAACACAGTGGCTTCTGAGAGGGGATGTGGGAGACGGTGCCGTAGTGGCGGGGATGTATGGGCCCGACATCGGTGCAGGAGAAGCACGTGCGGAGCGGCGCTGGTGGCAAGTGGGGTGGAGGGGGAGGGGGAAGGGAGAAGGTGATGGGTGTTGACGGGGAGGTGCGTTGCAGTCTTGACAAGGATCGCACTCAGCAGCCCCGAGTGCGTTGAGCAACCCTGAGAGGACTGACAAATCCAGGTGCGGAGCTGGTGGTAAGAGGAGGTTGCTGGCGGAAGGCAATAGGGTAAACGGAGGAAAGGTGCAGTGCAGCCTTGGCAAGGAGTGCCCTCAGCAGCACGCAGGTTCGCCGTGACCAGTGCACCCATGCTGCAAGAACGCAGACTCAAAGGCACGAACCGGCGCACGAAGAGCAGGTGCTGTGCAGAGCTGGTGGGAAGATAAGGGAAAGGGTGGGGGAGGTGGAAAGGGGAGAACAAGGGACAGCGCCTGAGTGAGCAGGGCACCGCCACCGTAGCGGCAAGAATTCGTAGGGCAGACGTCAGCAGCATAGGAGCAACAAGTGCGGAGCTTGAGAGCCTGGCTGAGAAATAAGAGGGGGAAGGAAAAGGTTATGGCGATGGGAGAATTGGGTGCGTGGGTAGGAGATTTGGGGAGTGGTGGTGTGCGTCCGCACTGTGGGGAGCGAGTCTGTGCAGTGGTGTGGGATAGTCGTGGGTGTAGGAGACGCAGGTGCAGTGCATAGGTGGGGGGAGGGGACAGGGATGGGAAGGGAAAGAAGGAAAAGGAGCAGTGGCTTATGAGAAGAATGTGGGAGAGAGTGCCGTGGGGGCGCGAATCTGTGGACCAGAAATCGGCATGGGAGAAATAGGTGCCGAGCTGGGGGGGAAGGGGGGGAATGGGGGAAGGAGGGAGCAGTGCGTTGATGAGAAGGACGCAGGGAGGAGGGATATGAGAGACAGTGCGGTAGGCGCGTGAGTGTGTGCGTCCGTGGAGTAGAGGGTGCGGATCTGAGGGGGAGTGGGGATAATTGTGGAGAGAGGTCACGGGGAAGCAGGAAGGGGGAAGGACGGGGTAGTTTGAGTCATGCGCTTGTGCTGTATGGGCACACAAGTGCGCAGCTGAATGGATGAGATGGGAGGGGATGGGAATGCAGGCTGGTGGGGAAGAGTGAACCATTATTGGGAGGGAGGGGAGGTAGTTGGAGAGGGGAACGAATTTCACCTTCTCAACTCACCTGGCCTGCCCTCAGCTCCCTCCACTCACTCTCGCAACCATCCCATAGGCACTCACAGCGACTCCTTGTCGACCCCTCACTACACCGACTCGACATATTCCTACACGCTTCTCCCCCGTCCCCCACCGACTCTCACCTTGACAATCCCCAGCCCAGCGTGTCATGTGCCCCCGGGTCACTGCCGCCCATCGGTCACTCCCCCATTCCAGTCGGCCCGCGTGGTTGCGACGAGGCCGCGTGGCGAGCAAAGGGTCATGGCAGAGCCTGGCGCCGAGAGGGGGAGCAGGGGAGAGGGCAAGAGTGAAGGCTGTAAGGGGAGAGGAGGGGGTAAAGGAGGGAGAGGGATTAACGAGGCGGAGGGGATAAGGGAAAAGGAAGTGTATAAGGGTAAGGAGGGGATGGTAAGTGGAAAGTTCGAGATGGTCCTGAGGTGGTGCCTTAGCAAGCAGTGTGGCTGTGCGAGTGGGTGCAAGGAGGGCGTGGGAATAGCAAGCAGGAGCGGAGCACAGGTGGAGGGTGGGAAGAGGGAGTTGGGCATGGGTGGGCGGGAAGGGAGCGTTGCAGGGCGTTCTGGACTGCACAATGCTCCACACCACGTCGCCTCTCACTCACTGCCACTCACTCATTGCCTCTCACAGATCGCCCCTCTCACACGCATCAACTTCACCCCCCTGCCCCCCCCCCTCTCTTCCCCCTTTCCTTCAATCAACCCCCCTTCCTTGGCCCCCTTTTTTCTTCAACCCCCCTTCCTTCACAACCTGTTCCTTCAACCACCCTCCCTTTAAAACCCCCTTCCTCCACCACCCCCGCCCCCCCCCCCCCCCCCCCCCCCCCCCCCCCCCCCCCCCCCCCCCCCCCCCCCCCCCCCCCCCCCCCCCCTTCCGTCCCCCCCTTCGTCCTCACCAGTCTCCAAGCACGAATGGCCATCCCTCAGAGCGTGTCACCGTGGCGACTTCGAGCGGGTCAATGATTGCCCGCCAGCCCCATCAGCTCAGCACTCCACCCTTCACCACCCCCTCGCCCTCCTTCCCGCTCTCCCAGCCGCCGCCACTGCCACTGCCAACGCCGCTTGCCCTGCTTGCCGGTGTTCCCGCCCGTTCGCCGCCTGCCAAAGCGCACGCGGCTTCCGCCGTTCTTCTCCGCCTCCGCCTTATTAGAACCCATCCTCGCGCGCGTGATCCGCCTTCGCGCGCATGATCCGCCTTCGCGCGCATGAGCCGCCTTCGCGCGCATTAACCGCCTTCGCGCGCATGATCCGACTCCTAAATCCACATTTTCCGCCGTCTTTCCAGTCGCAAGCAGAAGCTTGGTTTCAAATTCTCATATTCAACTTTGCTCGAAGATGGAGATCGCTTGCTGTTTCGGTCGCTATACAGTTCGCGATGTTTCGCAGAGGCAGCGACGCTGCCAGTCTAGCCACAGCCGCGCTCATGATTAGCTCGGGTCCGGGATTTACGGAGACGCGAATCAGCCATAGGGGATCAAATTGTAGTATCTCGTGACCAGGGATAAAGAAAGTTAGAAATTCGTCACGGGGGAATATGTAAGTCTCTGTACGCGGCTCGAAAAAAGACGTGCGTCACACGCTTACCACACTATCAAACATCACTCGAGCAGGCGGCTCGAGCGTCGGCCTAGAATGAGAGGTAACAGCAGAAACATGCACCTACAATTCCGTAAGATTTAAAGAGTCATGGAAGTGACGGTCTAGGAAGGGCAGTCGAAGTGAATGTAGGAGGAGCCAGAAAGCATTGCCTTGCCTATTCGAGCAGGCAAAAGTTGAGCCGCCATGGCTCAGCAGCAAGCAAATTTGATGACCCTTACCCACGCTGGCAGGAACTTCGAGATTTTCAAATTTCGTGGGTGGTAACAAACCAGGATCTATGGTTGGCTTTTTTTTTTTGGGTTGCAAAGCAACCTATTACAATCGATCTGGACAGTATTTTTTTTTCATCATTGTTTTTTTCCATCATTGTTTTAAAACTAAAAAATATGAAGAGAAATATATATATATATATAAAAGAAGAAAAACTTGCAATGCTTGTGAGTTGTGGATTTTACGCTTTACTGTTATTTTTGGATGGTTTAACATTTTGAAATGTATGCAGTGGTGGTGCATGAATGATGTGATTATGAATGCATATATATGAATAATGATTTGCATGATTTATGGTATGAATGAAATGCATGTTCATGTGGTAATGATGTTGTGTGATGGCGAATGACCCAAGAACTATGCTATCGCATCCCCTGACTAGCATGGGGGGGAGGTCAATAGCATAACACTTGAATCATTACAACTATCATATGGAACAACACAATCTGTGAGCCCTAAAAAAAGGATCAACACTATCAAATCCAGTTCAAGTAAGCGTGCCCATTTGAGCGTACTCAATGAACCTTTGGGAAATGATAGAATTGACTCCTATTTTTAAAACTCACAGACATGCATTGTTAATGCATGCATATTCAAGCAAACAGATTAATGCGCATGAAAACGCAAGGGGCAACAAAGAAGAAATAAAGGAGATGAAGAAAAAACTATAAGCAGCAGCCTAAATCAAATCCCAATGTTCGAGATTATCCCTTTTCCCTGGCTCTATCTGACTCCTCGAAATAGCAAGGTCGCAAGTACTGGTGAACGTGCGGCCTGCTGAAGAAAGCAAGCAAGATGATCAAAACGAAGGAATAAAAAACAGAAAAGGAAAGGATAAACAATGATGATAGAAAGCAGGGAGGAGGAATAGAAATGTGAGGAATGTGCATAGAGTGAACACGAGATCAAGAGGAAGAGAAAAAAGTTAAAACAAAAAGCACAAAAGAGAATTACAAATAGTTAAGGACTTGTAAAAAAGGCAATGAAATTCTCTTGATGGTGAATAAATATAGAAACGGATTGGGAAACGACAATCGAAAGTAAATAGAAGTGAGGGAAAACGAACGACGGAAAGGAGGAGGCTGAAAGTAAAAAAAAAAAATGCAGAGAAACAACGAGGGACGAAAACAATGTCTTTTACTACATGCTCCGGTACTAAACATTGAACGACGGAAAGACAATAACGACGGCTCAAAACGAAGTGACGACGGAAGAATGAAAGAATGGGAAGAGCAGAATGACAAACAAGGAAATGGAAGGAAATAACAATGCAATAACGAAACGTGGACAAGAGTGGAACTCTATCTCAAGATTGAAAGAGCAGGAAAGGACAAGAAAACTAAAGGAGGAACAACAAAGTAGAAAGAATCAAGATAGGGAGACGAAAAGTACGGCAGCAAGAAATGAGGTGAAGAGGAGGTGTGGGGGAAGAAAGAAAGATCTACGAGGTTAAGAAACTACAAATTCTGCGGCAAGAGAAAGAAGGCAACGAGGTAATAAAACAAGGAAAAACGGAGACTCACAAAGAATGACGCTATGTCTCTGCACTTCCAAGAAACCTTGCATTAACGATTGAACGGCAACGCTTCTGCTGCAACGAGTACCAGACATGTTCAAAAGGGCAAGAAGGACGTTGTTAGTTATACTAATCAATGGTGCGTGAAGCGGTCAACAGAAACTACTAATACTCGAATCTATAAATAATAGTGCTAATCTACATCAGCTCCAGAAGGCTAGGACGTGTTAGGAACATACCTCTGCTGTCATCTCTCTCCGTCGAAGCTAGAGAAACGAGAAAGAAAGGAATCTCGAAACCCTAACAAATGTGAACTTTGTCGCAAAAATAAATGTGTAATAAGATAATTTGCGCTTCCCTCGCTGCTGTCGTAGCACAACCGTTTTCGTAGCGTATGCTATCCAAGCGGTCCTGGGTTCGAGCTTCGTCGCAGAACATAGCAAAGCGTAGATTTCACTATTGGCATGTCTCGCTTTTGTTTTGGTGTAAGACAAAACAAAAGCGATACAAGTATTTTTTACCACGTGTACCGATGCAAATAACATTGCTTTGCAACCCTAAGACGATTTCGTCGCCTCTTGTTTTTTTTTTTTTGATATCAAAATACATTACATGAATGTATAGACATCGGCAGTCGTAACTGTAATGTTGAGGGGAGCGCTACAATAGCTAGTATTGCAGATCCCCTCTAAGGCAGCTACGGTGGCTGATGCGTCAGCCTGGGGTTGTCCCATACAGAGCTGAAGCTGATCTTCCACGTCAGCGGTGCGCCGCTGCTGCAGATACGCCGCATTACCACTGCCTCGTCGGCTGCCAGGTGCGCCCAGTCACCGTCCAAAGCGTGCCCCTTCAACCGCGCTGATTCTCTGCGCGCCGCGCAGTATACCCTCGCATGTGCGACAAACTTTACCACTGCCTGCCGAGCCACTCTCCCAGCCTGGAAAGCTTCACTTCTCCATATCGCGTTACATCTCGCCAGCCACACTTGATGCAGGAAGGTTGCAATCCATGTCCCTTCCGGAAAGCCCGACCTCGTGCTTCTTTGCATGAAAAGCAGGTCTTCCAGATCCTGCCACGTTAAACCCGGGCACATTGCCTCCAGCCCTTGCCTCATCACATCCGCCACCCCCTGCACCACCGGGCAGCCGAGAAGGCAGTGATCTGGGGTTTCCTCTCCCCGGCAGTGCGGGCAGACCACCCCCATGAAAAACAGTCTGGAGCCCACTTGTAGGTTTCTACAGTGGAGTCGTATGAGAATTTCCCGTGCCCGTCGTGGGGTGGCCAGGGAGTCCCTCTGCTCAATGACCCTGTCCCACTCAATCTCCCTCCTCTGTCCTTCCCATCTCCTTTGTCCCTCCTGTGGCCCCGCCGAGTCTGCCAGCACCTTCCTTATTCCTTTCAGCGAGATTAGCTCTCCTCCTTCACATGCCGCTGATAGCAGTAATTTCGTCCGCACATCTCCCATGGGCCCCAGGAACACGCATCCTTCCGTGAACATCGGCACCCCACTCCGTAAGCTGAAGCACATCGTGAGATTCCCCTCGTAGGGCGAAAAATGTCCGCCATCCTCCACATCGCATAGTATCCCCTCCACTTTGTCACCTCTTGCCTCCCCGACTTTCCAGTAGGTGAACTCTCCGGTTGCGTTGTTGCTCGACCGCAGTAGCTTCACCGTGGCCACTACCTCTTCGCTTGACAATTTCGCGAGAACCAACTCCTTCCAGTCTGAGGGTGCTGCGTTGAAGGCTCTCAGCGCCCACTTCGCCTTCTCTCTGCAGCCTAACTCCCTTGTCAGAGCCGCCAATTTCTTGAGTTCACACGTTCCGTCCCGCGCTTTATCAATCAGGTCCCCCATGCGTACCCCCAGCAGCGCCTCTGCTCCCTTCTGATTTCCAAAGGGGCTCGCGCCTCTGTAGGGGATGCTCGGGTTGAACGCCAGATGCTCTTGTTCCACCTCCCAACGGTTTGTTAGAGTCCGCGTTTTGCATAGCGGCGAGTCCCAAAATTTTTCAACTAACCCCTTCCATCGTGCACTTCCTTTTTTCCAGTGGTCCAGCAGAGACTTGTGTGCGAAGATTGTATCCAACCCCAGGGGCATCACCGCCGCCTTCTCTGCCAGCCATTTCTTAACCGAGTTCGGTTTCAGCACTAGCTTGCAGACACATCGGATGGCGATGCTGTCGACCCGCCTTTCGGGACAGATCAACCCCAACCCCCCGTCCTTCCGCGGCGTGCAGACCAGCCGATAGTTCCAGAGGATGAACCGCTTTTCTTCCACCGCTTCTCCTTTCGAGATAAAGGTGTGGCACAGCTTGTGGATCTTCTTCCAGATAGCCTCCGGTGGTAAGTAAACTTGTGCCTGGAATAGAAATATCGGCACGATGTAGCTGTTAATTATCGTTACCCTCGCCGATGTTGTTGGGTGTTGCATCTCCCACTTCGCTAATTCCCCTTTCGCCCTGTCCAGCGCTTTGTTCCAGGATGGAGTCGGATCACCGCTCGGCGTAATCCAGATTCCCAGAAGACGCTCCGGCTCCTCCTTGTCCGCCCATTTGTAGCGCAAGTTATGCGGCGCTGGCTTCCCCCGGTTCTTCCCCAGCGGGAAGATTACCGTTTTCCCCTCGTTCACCCTCAGTCCTGACTCCTCCCCGAAGGCTGACAACACTCCTGCCGCTGTCTCCAGCTGCTCCGCACCGTGTAGTAAGAGAGAGGTATCGTCAGCATACCCCAGGTATGCCAGTTTACCCACGCCTTTCTTTCCGATCACCAACTTTTTCCGGCTGATCTCCTGACACAATGGTTCTACCGCGCAGAGGAAGAGGTACGGCGCCAGCGGACAGCCTTGGCGCACGCCCTTCTCCACTGCCACCCTGTCTCCCGTCCATCCGTTAATGTGCAGGCATGTCCCCGCATCTTTGTGCAGCCCCACCGTCCAGCTCACGAAGTCCTCCGGTAAACCCAGCCTCCGTAGCGTGCTAAACAGGTAATCGCGCGAGATTGAGTCGAAGGCCTTCTGGAAGTCAATCATCAACAGGTACCAGTCCTCCTTCCCGTTAGCACCCGCTTCTATGGCATCTGCTACCACCGATACTGCGTCCGCCAGCTGCCGGCCAGGTATGAAGCCATACTGGTCCTCCGAAATGACCTCGTGCAGCACCACCTTGAGTCTGCTCGCCATCACTTTTGCAATAATCTTGTAAACTGTGCTCAGAAGTGTTATCGGCCGATAGTTCCCTAAATCGCCTTTGTCCCCCTTCTTATGCAGCAGGATAGTCACCGCTGTCGAGACGCTGTGCGGCAACTCCTCCCCCTCCGTGAATCTCTTCACCAGGTTCATCAGTATCGGCCCTAGCAGGTCCCAGTTGTGGTCGAAGAGCTCCTTGGGCAAGCCGTCTGCGCCTGGCGATTTCCTTGGAGCAAGCTCCCGCACCGCCTTACGCACCTCGGCCTCCGACCATGGTGCACTTAGCGCCTTCCTGCTTTCATCTCCCAGTTTCCGCTGCATGGGGTGGATCACTCCGCCAGGTAACACTCCTCCGCCGGTACCACCGAAAGCTTCTCGAAAGTGATCTGTCGCCGCCGAGAGCACTTCTTTCACCCCCGTGAATATGCTCCCGTTCCTCGATACTTCTCGGATTGCCGTCTTCGCCTTACGGGTTTTGATCTGTGCTGACAGTGTTCCCGACGCCACCTCCCCGTCCATTTCCGCCTCAATACCCGCCCATGTTTGCAGTTGCTCCTTGTGGCTTCTCTCGTATGCCTCCAACAGCTCCTCCTTCCGGAGCAGGATACGTCCCGTCCTTTGGCAGTGTGGGAAGCGTGACACACGCGACCTGAGCCGCTCAACCTCCTTGGCAAGATGATGCTTTGTCGCTTTCTCCCGCTTCCTCTCTTCCCTCGAGTACGCCTTCAGGCACGCAGTCAGCCTCTCCAGCAGTCTGTCAACCGGTACTCCTGCCGACTCCTCAATGATCTATTTTATAATTTTCCTGACGCCACTCTTCTTTGTTTGCTCCGCCCGTAACCTCCAGATGCCCGGCCCGTTCTTCACAGCTTCCGCGGACTCCAGCACCACTCCTATTCCATTCCAGTGATCCGTCATTCCGTTTGTAATCGCCACGTGCCTCGCCTCCACCAGCCTGCACAGCAGCGGCTGCGAAATCAGCGCCCTGTCTATCCTTGAGCTGGATCTTGTTGCCTTCGCGAAGAAAGTATACTCTCTTTTATCCGGGTGCATGTGCCTGAACGCATCTCTCAGGTCTGTACTCCCCCAGCAGCTCAGGAGCCGTTGGTTATCTGCAGAGGAGCCGGCCTGCGAGGTGCGATCCAGGTCTGGGTCTTCAACTACATTAAGGTCCCCCATCACCAGAATGTTCTGGAGCACCGGCAGAGACTCCAGGAACGGCTTCAGGCTGTCCCTGTAAAAGCTGGACCTATTAACTGCTTGCGCCGGGATGTACGCTGCTATCAACAGGAACTCCAGGCTGCCCCAGCGGACTACCACAGCCAGGAGTCTGCCGGATATGTGTGTGAAGGTGCTCTCGAAGACCAATCCAGGTACGAAGCTCACTATTGCAACTCCCCCCGCCGACTCATCAGGGTTGTTTCCGCACACTACAATCGCACTTGGAGCTATCTCAGTCCAAAAGTTGTGATCTGCCTGTAATCTGGTATCTGTGATTATCGCCACATCTGACTTCTCCTTCATCCATTCGCTGCACTTCTTTTGTTTCTCTACACTCCCGAGTCCATTGATGTTGAACTCGCAGAAAACAACCGTGTGGGCCTTATCCATTAATCAACAACTGGAAGCCCCCTCGCATCCACGGGCTGTAAGGAAAAGCACTGCTACCAGACCAGGTGAGCCGTTGAAACCAGCCACCTCTCTTATTCTACTACTGATGACTACAATAACCCATCCCTCCGAAACACTTGTCACATGCTGCCTTGTGGTGGACTCAACATCACGTGCTACTTCGCCGGTTTTGCAGTGTACTCCTTCTTGAAGGCCAGCATTTTCTGGGAAAACTTGCTGGCGCGTGTGGCCGAA